AGAATATTAACACACACCCTGCCCGTGGGTCACTGGGAAACCACGGTTCCCAGCTAGGTAATTGTGAGGTAGCGACCGGTGCCACCGCCACAATGATAACAAACTCATCCCTTATGGCCTAGTCTGTTACTTATCTATTTACTTAAGAGTTTAAAGCCATTTTGCATGCCTCCAAACAACTACCGGAATCACTTGATCCACTGCATAAGTAAACATTGAAAGAAGAAAATACTATCATAATAAACACATTCTTACAAGGAGTGGTGTCACCGGCTATTCGTGCGTTGGTGTACAAGCAGGTCTGGTTCTGCTACCGATGTCCTAAAACAACCAGTTACCTTTTACCTTAAATATATAAAATGTACATGTTCATGGCAATTTGTCGCCTAAGATATCCCATCAGTTACAGCATAAATGTGAAGGCATTACGGTGCAAAATAAACTAGGTATTTGGGATAAATCCCACTGGCACGAACAAGTTCCATGGCTTACATGTTACTCCTAGACACTTCGTTAATTCTACAGTGTGAGAAGTAAGATATGAGTGAAGACAATGGCGGTCAAACTTGAGACTGCATTTTATCTCTCTATACCAAAATATATCAACAGTATATTTACTCATTCTGCGTTCGTCATACTTCTAAACCATTCTAAAATCAGAATACAATGCTTACTTTTCAGCTGTCTCCGTTAAATGGAGAAATAACCTCCTTCGAACATCTTTCTTAGAAAATTCGTCTAGCGTGGTCAGATTGCAGCACTGAGAGAGCGTGTTGGTGATTAGCTCCGGTTCAACCAATCAAGTGTTGTTATGCAATGATGAACCGTAATGTGGCGTCGCCTGGTGTCTGAGTTATCTACTATTCAGAATTGTATGCAAATGCTAACTGAAAACAATTGTATCGAGGCCGTATCGTCGTGCTCCATCACAGTTTTCATGGCCACATTTTAGGTAGATTCAAAACACCCAAAAATAAACATAAACACAAACATAACACAGTCCGGTTGTATACCTTGAAGGTTTGAAGACTTTCTCAATTAATTCCTAGTCCAGCTTCCACTTTGGAAAGAAACTGTAACAATTGAATTGCATTTGTAGGTATTCCGCACTGCTCCAGTTCACACGCTTGCAGTGTGCTCGCTTGTTCACAGAGCCAAGCTGATCTTACATGTAAGTCTGACAGTTCGAGATGAACTTTCAGCTTACATCTGTACGACATCGCCCTAGAGTTATTATGCATTGTCACATACCCTCCCCATAATACTAATACCGATAACTATTACTGAAGTTAGATCATAGGAATAGGTTCAAATAGTTGTGTAATCGTTCAAATACTGTATCTTCCTACTAAATTTCTTAATAATTATTACATAGAAAATGTAAACAAGGCAAAAATAAACAGTTGTAAGCACACAACCTTTCGTCAATTTGAACGTTGTTCTAGTTTTTTTACAATTAATGTGTGCCGAACGAGCATCGAATACAAGGGCATAATTGAATATTATGCTCGCAATGAAAACAGACGGGTTCTCACGAAATAAAATGAACTATTTGCTTGAAGAAAATGTTATTCAAAGAAGCTACATTAGCTAATAAATCACGAAATTCAGAAAATATCACATAAACTAACCGCTCTTTATTGTATACTTTCCTACCACGCATAGCTCAACGTATAACATAGACTATGCGCGATACCGCGCGTGCATATTTTCACTCTAATTAAACTAACCGCGCTTTATTAAACTCAACACTCACGTAGATCATAGCTACGACATGTGTCTATGATTGGGAGAATTTCCAGAAATGTCCCTCACCTCGTTCGCGAGATATAAGAGCAAGTATACATTCCTACCACCCATAGCCTCGCGTATAACAGCTTATGCGCGATACCGCGCGTGCATATTTTCACTCTGATTAAACTAACCGCGCTTTATTAAACTCAACACTCACGTAGATTATAGCTACGACATGTGTTTATGACAGGTAGCATTTCTAGAAATGTCACTTAACTCGTTCGCGAGATATAAGAGCCGGTACACTTTCCTACCACGTATAGCCGTGCATATAATAGCCTGCGCCAGCTACCGCGCGTGCATAGTTTCACTCACAATTATACTAACTGCGCTGCTGAATCATAATACGGCAATGCGTATTATTAGACCAGTGTTCAAACGTACGGTTATTTACAAAAAGCTTTCATGGCCACATGTTAGGTAGATTAAAAACACTCAAAAAACATGAAACAGTCAAGTAGTAATATACCTTAAAGGTTTCAATACTTTCTCAATTAATTCCTAGTCCAGCTTCCACTTTGGAAATAAACTGTAACAATTGAGTTGCATTAGTAGGTATTCCACACTGCTCCAGTTCCCATGTGTGCAGTATGCTCGCTTCTTCATAGAGCCAATCTGATCTTGCATGTGAGTCTGACAGTTCGAGATGTACTTTCTGCTGACATCTGTACGACATCGCCCTAGAGTTATTATGCATGGCCATGTGTGATTATAGGGTGTTTTTAGAGCTAACTCTTCACTTCAAATGTTACATTTAAATAATTTTTTTTTCGTCATTTTCTTCTTCGTTTTCTCTCCCGTGTGAGTTCTCATGTGTGTCTTCAGATTACCTGATTGTGCGAAGGTAGCATCACACAGATCGCACTTATATGGTTTCTCTCCCGTGTGGGTTCTCATGTGTGTCTTCAGATTACCTGATTGTGCGAAGGTAGCATCACACAGATCGCACTTATATGGTTTCTCTCCCGTGTGAGTTCGCATGTGTTTCTTCACACAACCCGATTCTGAGAATGCGGCATCACACAGATCGCACTTATATGGTTTCTCTCCCGTGTGGGTTCTCATGTGTGTCTTCAGATTACCCGATTGTGAGAAGGCGGCATCACACAGTTCACACTTATATGGTTTCTCTCCCGTGTGAGTTCTCATGTGTCTTTTCAAAGCACTCGAACTCCATGATGCTTCATAGAGAGAACCACACACTTCTTCAGTAGCAGCCAGAAGGCCAGGACTTCAAATTCAATGACGATAATAATAGTAATTAAAAGGTTGCCATGAAATTTATTTCATAACACTTAATGTGGGAGGGATAAACTAATGTTGTACTAATAGTACTAAATAATACTCTAACATTACTAACATTACTAAACAGCTTGTGTCAAGTCACAGATGGAGCGTAAAATTTGAAATATTGACACGAAACATTGTGTTAATTAATTGCTGTTAAAAACATTGGTGTTAATATAACGAAACATTGTGTTTGTTAAACACGTGATGTTATCACTTTGTATCAAGGAGCCAGACAAATGCTGGTCTTAGACACATGTACGTTTGCAGCGCATATGTGTTGCACCTGGCCGTAATGCTAAAATGAAGACGCGCGCATTATGAATATAAAAATTCACTCGCCAAACAGGCTGTCAGACCAACATTCTACTAGCCTTACTGATTTCTACTAGGCTCGGCGGCGGGCAACGCGTTAGTTCAAGCCCTAGGCTTTTCCTATATTCAGCGTTGTACGCTCTTGGGGTAAATTGGGCTCTTGATATAATGTGCTTGACCTTACAGTTGTTAAATGGCGGCGTGATGTTTGGATGATAATAATTCCGATTATGCCAGCATTAAACAGTATATATTGCAAAACAAAACTTTGGCAGTATTTTGTTCTACATCAATACGCAGGCTTCAATGCATTTATTTTGTATTCTCTTATACTAATTTGTAGAGCGGCCTATAGGTAGGACGTGAGATTCTACAAGTGAGACAGGCAGTCTACGCAAGCAAACAAACACGGTAAACAGTGACGTGTGTTTACCAGCTACGTGTGGCAGCTTTCCCTGAAAGCCAAACGATTGGAGTACGTGAGAATTAATCCGGAGAAAATCCATTATGAGTGCGAACTGATGTGACGGCTTCCTTAGTCCTGTCTGACGGTAGTGCGAAGGCGTAACATGACGAAGTCATTACGGGAGAGAACCATATAAGTGCGCGCTGTGTGATGCCCGCATTCTCAGTATCGGGTAATGTGAAGGAAACACAGATTACTTCACACGCGGAGAGAAACCAATATAAGGTGATCTGTGTGATGTACCTTCTCCCTCCTGGGTCATTGTGAGAGGACACCTGAGAACTCACACTCAAGAGAAACCCGTACTAAGTGCGAAGCTGTGTGATGCTGCCTTCTCCATTTTGGGCTATATGAAGACACACCTGAGACTCACCACGTGGAGAGAAACCCATATAACGTGCGATGTTTTTTTGTGTGATGCTTACCTCAGATTCGAGTGCTCTGAAGCCACACATGAAGAACTCACACGGAGAGAACCCGTAGTAAGTGTGAGACTGTGTTATGCCTACCTTCACCACAATCGAGTAGTCTGAAGACACGACATGAGCAATCACACGGCGAGCAGAAACGTATAAGTGGCGAGCTGTGTGATGCCGCCTTCTCAACATCGGGCGTAATCTGAAGACACACCTGAGAACTCACACGGGAGAGAAACCATATAGTGCGATCTGTTGTGATGCGCCTTCTCAGATTCGGNATTTCTCATTTTTATTACAAATTTTGTGCCTAGAGTGATCATCCCATATTCTAGCTACAATTCATCAATGGAAAAGTGAATAAAGTATAATTAATGCAATGTAAGAATTCTAACTGTAGTGTTAATTTACCTTACAATATTATAACTGTTTATACTAAACTGTAAATTGACGTGATTAGTTGTCAGGTCAGTCATGGTGAATTTTTTTAAATGAATTATAATAGTTATCATAACATTTCAGTCATCAAAATTCTGATTACCCTAACATTTGTTAACGCTATGAGCTATTATCGTACTCGACTCTCAATATAGTGTCATGCGAGTCACGTACTTAGGAGGATATTACTTACTTAAAGAGAGGTTTCTAGCAGTGAAATTAATGCCAATGAACCGTAATGCCAAAGGTTATGCAAACAAAAATGTCGTGTGCACCTTCCAACTTGTCTTGTCTTGTCAATTTAACCTGCAAAAGTCAGAATTCATGGTTATTATACTATGTTACACTTATTATTATTCATATGTTCACAAATGGCACCTATGTAATAGTTACAGATAGATATAGGCTGCAAGCGTGGTGATACTGTAACTGTGTGTAACAAAAACTGTAGAGTTTTGATACTGAATAAAATCTCAAATGCACTTAAGACGTTTTGATGCATTATCAGGTGGTAGCAAACTAGCAACGTATTATCCAGCGAGTTTGTTTGTCTCATATGGTCCCGTATGATTGTACTCGATTGTAACATTCAGCGCGAGATTTCACACGTGATTTGGTTATGTCGTCTGCTTTGATTACGCGCTACATCAACTTCACTATCTAACATGTAAGAACCACCCCCACCGAAGATGCGGAAGCGTACGCTTTTTTATTTTAATTATAAAAAGGTAGGTGAATTTTTCTTATTCCATTTTTCTTTCTTTAACCTCTCATACTTCCCGCTTTTCCTTTCCCCTGTGAACGCCTACGCCTATAATCGGTTTGCCGGCCCTATATGTCCTATATGGGACCCTGCAATGTTAATTACACTAAACTTTTTTCATGGAAATGTGTTCTATATAGTTAGAAGAGCTGATTTAGCTTGGTTGCTACCTGTGCATCGTTGAGCATTTCTTGGAATTCAAGATGGCCGCCGCCGTTCATCTTCGATTTTGGTCAATTTACAATTTGTGATCTCGATGCCCTAGAGTCTAGAGTGTCATGCAATAT